ACGAATTAGACGGCAAGCTTTGAAGTGGGTCACCATATTTGACCCTCGGATTAGTAAGGCCCCTATTCTGAATAGGGCCTTATACTCATCTGTAGGGACAGTGGATTCCTATTTCACTGTTGCAATTAAAGAATGTGTATACTTTAACTACTTCACTACTACTCAACTTTCAAAAATCGTTGTTTCGTAATTAGACGTACAAAGACTATGTCTTGTTGAGTTTGTTGTAAATACAATATGCATTTTCCCTTAAAATTCAAAATCCGATAGAGAATAATGTTTCAGACAGTAGTCTAGAGTCTTACGTGACTTGACTACCTTGTGTCATCCTGTTAAGCTGATAACTGTGATGACTGTATTGGAAACTCTTTATTTCGATCAGTATAAAATACAAATGGTATGGATATTTGTTGTTGTTTTTTTTTTCAAAAAACAATACCACCTTGGAAAACTATTTATTATAAAAAACCCATGTACCTAGAAATCCCTAGCGGCTGATTCTTACAGTTAACATCCCCCCCTTCCGAAAAAAAAGAAAGTCTCTGAAAAAAATTGAATCGATCTCCAGCACCGCTGACCACCTGAATTAATGTTAGTATTGGGACCCAGTGGCACATTTAACCATTCAAATGGTGTCACATATCGATATACCTAAGCCTTTCACTAAAATCTTCACACTAAGAAGAATTCGAGATCTAGATAATTAATAAAATCAGTTCATGTAGCAATTTGATATGAATCCACAAAATGGTGAAGTGAAGATGTGTTGTTTTGACTTTTTTTTTTATCAAACCACGTCACCGTCTGTTCTGGAATTGGTTCCGCGGTGGGTGGTTGTGGGAATTGTGCATTATCTACTTGAAAGTTTAAACAAGCTTTCTCCTCTTTCCACTTTGGGCATCTTGAATTTCTCGGGGTGATAAAAGGGCACTTTTTTCTTCGGAGTCTTTCATAAAGAGCCCTATTAACACTGTACAAAATAGTCTGTTACTATTTATTCGATCTCTTGGTGTATAATGAACGACACGTCCATCTGCATTTCTGTATGGTCGATACAAGGAATTATCATTCAATGTCTTAATGCGCTTATTGTGTATGTGGTGAGGCAGCTAATAAAGACTCGTTTTGTCCGAACACAATTTGGTGTGAATATAAGCAAAAGAAGAAGAGAACCAGCTTCTAAAGTCTAAACCAGGCACAAATAAGTCCTCCTAGGAGTTTATCAAGGCGACTGGGGTAAGCCTAAGAAGGCGGATTGACCGACGGATGACACTTTTCTCTGTTCGTCCAATAAATCGCCAATTATATTTGCGGGATCTCCTTACAAGCTGCACAATCTATTTGTGCATGATCATTAGAAAACGTCAAACTTCATCAGAGCCAGCAGAACTGAGACGCATCAAGTCCACTCAGAACCAACAAACAAAGGTAGCACTGATATCCAAAACTACGCTGAGAACGAAATAACTATACTCAACTACGTGTTAAAGGATTTGCATTTATTTATAACTACCGTGAGAAAGGCTTACGTTTTGCTATTATTTAGTGGACAATCCGCTTTCGGTGGTTTTGTGAGATGTTTATTTCAAATTTGAATGAGGCAAGGGTTGTTGATTTCACAAATATCTTCGTAAACCGGAAAAGGATTGGCTTGCACTTAGCTCGACAATAATACTTCCCAATCCCAATAAAACGTCCAGGTAGTCTTTTGGGAGCCTATGTAATCCTTCTATTAGCCCCAGCTCTGACTGCAGCTTTCACAACCCAGTGGCCAGAGTCTCAGGGTGCATTCCCAGAGATTTAGATCGTTCCAGAGATTTAGATTTAGATCGACCTAACTCCCTGGGGGTTCACGCTAAGTTGCAGTCAGCCGAGCGCACACCATAGTTAATTACCTCCTTACAGCTTTTAGTAGGCGGGACAGACGCTTAAGCCGGCTAGGCTGACAGTAATCTAGTGAGACTCCCCACAGGGATAGATCGATCTAAAATCTATGGGAATGGGGCCTTATACTATGACCGCATTCAGAACAGTGGACTAACTAGTCCGAGGGTCAAATATGGCCGACCCATTTGAATACTTCTCCACAGGGAATCTGTTCAGTGTCTATTAGCGGATTAGACGGCAAGTTTTTGAGTGGGTCGCCATATTTGACTCTCGAACTAGTTAGTCCACTGTTCTGAATGCGGTTACAGTCGACGCGGGCCAGCTTAATTTTTTTAAATTCAAATTCTACACGTGGCCGATTGACAGGTTTGAACTTTGTGGTATTTGAGTGCCATGTAGACATGAAGCCAAACTGGGCAAAGCTGATTGGATGATTTGTGAGAGGTCACGTGGATTCAAGGAGAGATATGCGTAAATGCATGTACTAACATTCTCAAATATCACAGTTATTAATCACCATCTTGCCTAACAATAAAAAAATACTTGTTCTGCAGCATTTCGGTAGTGTTTCGTCTTTTGACGCGGTTCGTATCATTTTCTTGGTCACTATAAATATATGTAATAACGCTAAAATTTAAAGAATAAAGCATGTTGCATTTAATAGCAAACTGTGTACTGTGCATACTTGGAGAATTATTAAGCCTATCAAAGATAATCAGCGATTCAAGCAATCTGTGTAAAAAATCACAAGGCGTTTCTATTAAATAATGTGAAATTGACATAAATAAACCTAACCAAATGTAACTTGATGGATGGATTTCCTCCTTGACTTTAAAACCGTCATGAGTTTGGCCTTTTTCTTCCCGTAGAAGTTGGTTCATCTGTCAAATGTTCTAGACATGCCGGTGACTCTTCCTGTTCTATAGGTGCAAGACGTGGGAGTAAAATGAAAGTCATTAATTACTACTACACCGTGGAAATAAATTTCTGCTGACTTTAAGGTCATTTAGTAAAAGACGCACTAGATAGAAAAAACTGACCCCTTCATGGTATCATTTTTGTCTGAGAGTATCTCATTTTATCCGAAATACGACAGGAGTTTTTCCTGCAGGCTTGATTTTTGCACTGATCTCTCTCTCTCTCTCTCACACACACACACACACCACCACCACCACCACCACCACCTCCACAAAATGGACAAGAAAAAGAAAAAGATTGATTCATCAAACTGCACCGACCTTACTGACTGGCATGTCATGCATCGATATCGGAGAAGAAAGTTATAATATAACACACAGACGGGACCATGTAACCTTTACATTTGTTTAAAATGTATTCCAATCAGATCAGAGCTTACCGGCATGTTTTATGTATGTGACGTGAATGCTTAACTCCGTGCCACCTAACAAACATCATTGTCGTCACAAGGGGGCAGTGAGCACATCCATTTTAAACAACAAGTAAGCAGCTTTATAAAAAGAATGAAGAAATTCCCACAGCATTTTGGCGCTTTCAAAAGCTTTCCACGAAGAGATTTGGAACTCAAAACCGGCCACACCGTGTGGCTTTTAACAAAGAACGCTAAGCGCTGATTACACGCACGCTAACCTGGCGTTGTCTATTTCTGAAATGCCTGGAACTTCGAGTCTAATGAACTTATCGGGTGAAACTTGAAAAAAAAAAAGATTGATAGCGGTAGGAATTTACCCTTTCTAAACGCTTGTTTCGAAGCCGTAGGAAAGCATTTTTACGATGTTAGTTATTGTCTTCAATTGTAGGCTCATCCTGTGCGTTGCTGGGTAGAACTAATGGCTTTCCTGCTCTCCTTAGACACCCACTGTTTATAAAGAAGTAACGTCAACGGCATCTGCACGCACACACACGGGTGGCAGGCTCCACACGACACGCTCTCTGAATACCAACATAAGGTACGTGATTTTAGCGCTGCCGTATTTTTTGTTGATTTAATTTAAAGGCACACAATAGGAGTTAGGCCCATTATATGTACATGTATAGCTAAACTCCTGGAGATTTCAACACTTAATGTTGATCGAATCACGCAGGTAGACCATATTCAAAGCCTTTCGTAGAATAACGTTCCATAAGAACAGTTATGAGTTTTTAGGTTTTGAGTCACTCTCGAAGTGGAGATGTTCTCGGGGTTAAAAATCGGAAATTTAAAATTCTAAAATGTGTTTAAAGAAGGTAACTTCCACAATGGTTTTGAGTAAGGTATACCTTGGTGATAAAGGGGAAATTGCTAAAATGTCCAGAAAGATTTTTTCCCTATATAAAAGTCTAACGCACATTGTATGTCTTCAAAATGGTAGTGGTTGCCATTTAATTTCAACCTGCGTTTGATTGCAGGGTATATGTAAAGCAAGATTAGAAAATTGTTCATTAGGAGACGTATGGGAGTTTAATGAAATGTTACTGGTACGTTAACTTGATGGGGGTTAATTGCTGGGTACAGATTCAGTGGATCAACTTTGATGTAGAAAATGTATATCATTGAACTTGAAGACATTCAGATACTGTTTTACGCAGAGATGATAAGAAAAAAGATTTCTTGTTGAAATGTTATTGGACAAGCCATCAGTCTAGCATTTAATCGAAATTTAAGCTTCATTTACAAACTGGAATATGAACATCAAAACCATCATATCCTTAATTCGCATATATTTGAACGCAGTCTTTACTTCATTATTCTAGATAGCAATCATTGGGGACGAGATTAATTATAAGGACATCGAAGTAGACCTTACCCAGGACGTCGCATCGATCCAAAATCCTGATTAATCCAACGATTTGCATTGGCGCTGCGTCTGCCTCCTTACATGTCAGTTATGTCTTCTTTAATAAAGAAGATCTCAGAATTTGCGAACAACAGTGCCGGCAAAAACCCGTCGATTCATGAATTATTAAAAAGGCTCGATAGCTATAACAACTCCTCCCACAATGGGAGCAACGGCGGTGACTTTACTGATTTTGGGTTAATGTCAAATAAAAATGCGGCACAGAACGTTCTTCTGGTTGCTGCCTACTCTGTTTTGGTGCTTGTTTCTCTCTTTGGCAACACAATGGTTTGCCACGTAGTGATTCGAAACCGGAGGATGCACACAGTCACTAATATGTTCATTGTTAACTTGGCTTTCTCTTGCATACTAGTCACCGCTCTTAACATCCCGCTGATGCTGGTGCGCCTTGTGTTGGAGGAGTGGCCGTTTGGTTCCTTCATGTGTCACTTGCTCAACTTTATATTGATGTCATCCGTCTATGTGTCCACTTTCACACTGATGGTCATTGCGCTGGACCGCCATCAAGTGATCATGTACCCGCTTCGTCCACGGATTTCATTACCTGTTGGCGCCCTTATTGTGGCTTTCATTTGGGTCTTGGCTATCGGACTCTCTATGCCGTTTGCCATATATTCCCGTGTGGAGGACGTCCATGTCATCGTTCGCACCAAGCGANCTGCGATACTGACTGTTGACTGCTTCTTGTGGTGTTTTGACTGATTTCTTAACCCAGGGGTTGTGACAGTTGCTGACTGTTTACTGTGTATGACTGTAGTTTCATTTGCTGCATTGATCTATGAACAGTGCAGTCTTTATTTGTCTGGCTTTAAGTTAGCATATAAATGAGTCAGCAAGTTCCAGACATGCTGAAAACTTTTCAGAATGGCCGGACATTTGGACCGGCAGTAATGAGAAATTTGCCGGATCGAATGGATTTTTGTCGGACTGAAAATCACTTTATTTGCTTGAGACAGATAGTACCAGTACGATTAGGGTAGCTTACTTTGTTTCTGAATGTGATAGTTTTGAAAAGGAAGGGAAAAAACGCTTTGGGTTTTATATAATTTTATTACTGAAGTATGTCGAAAGATGACTGTAAATTCAAAATTGCGGTTCTTAAAGCTCTTGTCAGTCCTTTGGACCGACCAAGTCCAATTTTCTACCGGTCCAGACAAATTTTCCCGGTCATGACCGATCGGACCGACAGTTTCAGGATGCCTGAAGTTCTGAAAAATTTTCTTTAAAAAATGCAATAAAAACAAACTTTTCAAAGTTTTAAAATGTTGCTGTTGTTTTGCCTCAAAAATGGTTTGGTGGAAATATTTGCCTTTCTGTAAAAAGGAAAAAAACAAAAGCGGTCTTTTTTTCAAATCTGTCATTACTGAATGACGATTTTAACATGTTTTCTCCCCTTATCATTGCAGGCGTCTTTTGTGTTTGCCAGCTACGATGTCGATTATGACCATGTTTTGAGGGCGCTCAGTTTTGACGTAGAGAGTGGACACCATCTTGCATTTCAGCAGATCCTGTCTGGGTTCAGTGCTCTCCTGGTTTGGGACAACAAGAACCTGTATTACTCTCCCAGCTGTGGTAAGAACAATAGCAGTAATGAGATTTTTCCGACTGTTGGCAGATTTCCCACTTATTGGAAGCCAAAATATCCTCGCCATGGAGATCTGTGTAGAAGTGAACAAAGTGATAGCCAGGCTTGCTGTTTTTTTAATGGTGATGGTATTTGGATGGCAATAATCCAGAAGTCACCTGTCTCTCTAAATTGCTTTGTTTTATGACTGTATATGTGCCTTATACAGTGTCTCTTTTTTTCTAAGTTATCACTGTAAATAAACAATAATGCTTTGGCAGATTAATCAGTGGGTTTTGTCCTAATAAATATTTTTTATAGCATTTGTGGTGCTTTTAATTCATAAAATAGAACTATAAAGTAGTCTGCTTTTCAGTTTTGTTGTAACCACTCAGTAGGAATGCTCTTATTTTAAGAAATTATGATATAAAAATTTACAGTATCTGTGAAATTCACAATTCTTCGCCATTGAAAAGATTGAGTCATTATACCGTGTTCCTTCTTCTATTGTTTCAGGGCAGACTGTGTTACCAGTTCATCTCTACAGTACCATTAGGTGGAACGAAACCAGCTTTCTTTCCTCTGGGGAAACCTTTCGACAAATCATAACTGGTATATTTTATATTGTTATTCAGAACTTATTAAAATCTGTTTAAAGAGCAAAAGGATAAATGATTAATTCTGATTATATGCAGCAGTCAATGCCATAAACTTTACTGTAGGAAAATATTTACTGGGCGATGAAAATATGCACACTGAAAATTAATATAGTTTTGTTTTGAAAATCTGACTTGCTTTATATGATTCATTGAAGTTATTTTTCATGATTTTAACTATATATGCATACTAAACAAAATTAGTCTCTTCTCTACAATTTTGGTCAATGTTTTTGAAGGTCCTGATGGGGAGTTTGCTGCCGTGACAACAGAAAACAGACTGTTCTATGGTAGAGAAGGCCACAGAGCTGATGCAGTAGAGGTATGGGGTGAAATGCTCTGTTCTTTCAAAATTTGAACTCAAATTTTACATTATGAATTCATTTACAATAACAAGTGTGTCTAATAAATATGATAAGTGTAGTTTTAGAGAGTCATAGTAAATTATTTGATATTGATAATATTGAGAAGTGCCTGTGAATATTATATTTTTTATATTTTGTCTGTTTTTCCAGCCCCTCCACCCCCACTTTCCATCCCCCCGGGAGGATTGTGTATATTTTTACTTTATTTCACGTTGTTGTTTTATTCCATTTCTTTATATGTCATTTACAAACATTTTCTGCTTCCATTTATCACCGTTGTTTCAGATCTACAACCTGGAGACCCCTTTGAGAGACACCTCTGTCCTTCTTTTCTCAGCTGATGGAGATTTCATCGAATTTTACGACGACAGAACTGACCCCAGAAGGAAATTATGGCTGAAGAAGAGGGAGATAGACCTGCAGCAGCATCTCAGGGCTATAGAGCCTCCCTTGACAAAGTGCCAGGTTTGTTGATTTGTTTGTTTATTTAAAATGTTTTCATGGGTCTAATTAAAATGCAGAATACACCGCAATACACATGAAAGTACAGTCCCAAGTATAAATACGGGAAATGGTCATTCGTGAACTCAAGTCATCAGTCGTATTGCCAAGAAGGGGCATTAGCCAATATGGCAGACGACCCAACGATAAGCAAGTAACATAGTGGATGATCCAATGAAAAACAAGTTGTGCCATTTGCTAAGTTGCATCGACAATATTAATTACGTAGTATTATGTTTAGCTTCTATATCTGCCTGTTTTTGTGCAAATGGCTGTTTCCTGTGTTGGCTGGACTGGATTCGTTTTTTTTTTTTTTTTTTTTTCTATTGTGTCGCAGTGTATAGGGCATACTAAGTACACTTTCTTTTCACTGGTAATTGCACTTTTTTAATTGGATGACTCTTCATAAATGGGGAACTTTCTCCTACTAATTCAAAAACAAAGTTCTTTATATATGCAGTGCTTAGGGATTGAACACCATTTTGACTGTAATTTGAAAAAACTTCAGAATAGTTTCCTAGATTATCAGGCAACATAAGGCAATAAATTTGCATGAAATGGAAAAAAAATCCTAAGATCAGCCAAATATTTTGTGCTTTTTTTTCTAATTTTCTAAAAATGTTGGTCTTTTCTTTTCAGTATCAAGCTCTAGGGGCTGATTTTCAAGGCAAAACCATCTATATTGACATCAACACCAAGACACAGATAATTGTGAATCTTATACCACAGCCGGGAGTACAGAACCAATTATTGGTGATTTTATTTATTTATTTATTTATTTATTTATTTATTTATGTTTACAAAGTGTTAGTGCTTAAGAAAAACACTTGTTGGACTAGTCTACTGATCTTTGACTTTTTGACTCCACTTATAATTTTGAAAATATTATTATGCCTGCACAAATGCGCACATGTATTTCTTGGAGCTATTGAAGCAATATTAGAATTATACATGTAAAGATTTATTGTGGAATTATAATATTTCAGTTAAGTATGTCCAACCCTCACTTGTTACAAACTGTATCAAATTATGTCAACTCTCCGTCAGCAGGTGGTGGATTGTCTCCAAGAACACTGGTGAGAATATAGCCGTGTGTGTGTGTGTGACTTTTATAAAAAACATATATTGAAAGTATTATGTGTAAAATGTCATTTAAAGCATAATCAAATGGTGGTATGTTATGGTAGGTTATATGGAGTTTAATTAAATGGTTTATAAATCAACTACCTACTCAGCGTCTTATTTTATCTTAGGTCACTTCATTGAATCAGAAATGCATGGCTTCAAGTGATGTAAGGTGAGGGGTATTCTTAACACCATGCAAGTTGATATTTTATATTTGTTTGTTGGTCTTAGTTGTAGGTATTTGTTGGTCTAAGATCGCATTCACAACGTTGTGTCGTCCCAATGGAGACGAAATTTAATGACTGTACCCCCGCAGGGACGACGCATGGAGAGGCGTGTGAGAGGCGGAGAGACTATTAAAAGATTAGGCGGTTTTTCTTTAATGTACGCCCACCATATTTAGTCCCCAGGATTTGTAAAGCCTGGCTCAACTCGTTGTGAATGCGATCTCATCTGTAGGGACAGTGGATTCCTATTTCACTGTTGCAATTAAAGAATGTGTATACTTTAACTACTTCACTACTACTCAACTTACAAAAATCGTTGTTTCGTATTTAGACGTACAAAGACTATGTCTTGTTGAGTTTGTTGCAAATACGATATGCATTTTCCCTTAAAATTCAAAATCCGATAGAGAATAATGTTTCAGACAGTAGTCTAGAGTCTTACGTGACTTGACTACCTTGTGTCATCCTGTTAAGCTGATAACTGTGATGACTGTATTGGAAACTCTTTATTTCGATCAGTACAAATTACAAATGGTATGGATATTTGTTGTTTTTTTTTTCCAAAAAACAATACCACCTTGGAAAACTATTTATTATAAAAAACCCATGTACCTAGATATCCCTAGCGGCTGATTCTTACAGTTAACATCCCCCCCTCCCGAAAAAAAAGAAAGTCTCTGAAAAAATTGAATCGATCTCCAACACCGCTGACCACCTGAATTAATGTTAGTATTGGGACCCAGTGGCACATTTAACCATTCAAATGGTGTCACATATCGATATACCTAAGCCTTTCACTAAAATCTTCACACTAAGAAGAATTCGAGATCTAGATAATTAATAAAATCAGTTCATGTAGCAATTTGATATGAATCCACAAAATGGTGAAGTGAAGATGTGTTGTTTTGACTTTTTTTATCAAACCACGTCACCGTCTGTTCCAGAGTTGGTTCCGCGGTGGGTGGTTGTGGGAATTGTGCATTATCTACTTGAAAGTTTAAACAAGCTTTCTCCTCTTTCCACTTTGGGCATCTTGAATTTCTCGGGGTGATAAGAGGGCACTTTTTTCTTCGGAGTCTTTCATAAAGAACCCTATTAACACTGTACAAAATAGTCTGTTACTATTTATTCGATCTCTTGGTGTATAATGAACGACACGTCCATCTGCATTTCTGTATGGTCGATACAAGGAATTATCATTCAATGTCTTAATGCGCTTATTGTGTATGTGGTGAGGCAGCTAATAAAGACTCGTTTTGTCCGAACACAATTTGGTGTGAATATAAGCAAAAGAAGAACAGCCATTCCACGAAAAAGGGTACAATTCTGAATAATACCTGTCGCAGCTTATTTTCAGTAGTAAAAGCATCTGCAATTTAGCTTTTTTTAGCCTTTTTTAGCAGGACCCGATGTGTTCTACTTAAAAAACAACAATTGATATAGTACCACTTGCTTTGACTTCTATGTTCTACNTGGAATGGCCGAGAAGAGAACCAGCTTCTAAAGTCTAAACCAGGCACAAATAAGTCCTCCTAGGAGTTTATCAAGGCGACTGGGGTAAGCCTAAGAAGGCGGATTGACCGACGGATGACACTTTTCTCTGTTCGTCCAATAAATCGCCAATTATATTTGCGGGATCTCCTTACAAGCTGCACAATCTATTTGTGCATGATCATTAGAAAACGTCAAACTCCATCAGAGCCAGCAGAACTGAGACGCATCAAGTCCACTCAGAACCAACAAACAAAGGTAGCACTGATATCCAAAACTACGCTGAGAACGAAATAACTATACTCAACTACGTGTTAAAGGATTTGCATTTATTTATAACTACCGTGAGAAAGGCTTACGTTTTGCTATTATTTAATGGTCATATTAGGACAATCCGCTTTCGGTGGTTTTGTGAGATGTTTATTTCAAATTTGAATGAGGCAAGGGTTGTTGATTTCACAAATATCTTCGTAAACCGGAAAGGGATTGGCTTGCACTTAGCTCGACAATAATACTTCCCAATCCCAATAAAACGTCCAGGTAGTCTTTTGGGAGCCTATGTAATCCTTCTATTAGCCCCAGCTCTGACTGCAGCTCTCACAACCCAGTGGCCAGAGTCTCAGGGTGCATTCCCAGAGATTTAGATCGATCCAGAGATTTAGATTTAGATCGACCTAACTCCCTGGGGGTTCACGCTAAGTTGCAGTCAGCCGAGCGCGCACCATAGTTAATTACCTCCTTACAGCTTTTAGTAGGCGGGGCAGACGCTTAAGCCGGCTAGGCTGACAGTAATCTAGTGAGACTCCCCACAGGGATAGATCGATCTAAAATCTATGGGAATGGGGCCTTATATTATGACCGCATTCAGAACAGTGGACTAACTAGTCCGAGGGTCAAATATGGCCGACCCATTTGAATACTTCTCCACGGGGAATCTGTTCAGTGTCTATTAGCGGATTAGACGGCAAGTTTTTTAGTGGGTCGCCATATTTGACTCTCGGGCTAGTTAGTCCACTGTTCTGAATGCGGTTATAGTCGACGCGGGCCAGCTTAATTTTTTTTAATTTCAAATTCTACACGTGGCCGATTGACAGGTTTGAACTTTGTGGTATTTGAGTGCCATGTAGACATGAAGCCAAACTGGGCAAAGCTGATTGAATGATTTGTGAAAGGTCACGCGGTTTTGTGAGAGGTCACGTGGATTCAAGGAGAGATATGCGTAAATGCATGTACTAACATTCTCAAATATCACAGTTATTAATCACCATCTTGCCTAACAATACCAAAAATACTTGTTCTGCAGCATTTCGGTAGTGTTTCGTCTTTTGACGCGGTTCGTATCATTTTCTTGGTCACTATAAATATATGTGATAACGCTAAAATTTAAAGAATAAAGCATGTTGCATTTAATAGGAAACCGTGTACTGTGCATACTTGGAGAATTATTAAGCCTATCAAAGATAATCAGCGATTCAAGCAATCTGTGTAAAAAATCACAAGGCGTTTCTATTAAATAATGTGAAATTGACATAAATAAACCTAACCAAATGTAACTTGATGGATGGATTTCCTCCTTGACTTTAAAACCGTCATGAGTTTGGCCTTTTTCTTCCCGTAAAAGTTGGTTCATCTGTCAAATGTTCTAGACATGCCGGTGACTCTTCCTGTTCTATAGGTGCAAGACGTGGGAGTAAAATGAAAGTCATTAATTACTACTACACCGTGGAAATAAATTTCTGCTGACTTTAAGGTCATTTAGTAAAAGATGCAATAGACAGAAAAACTGACCCCTTCATGGTATCATTTTTGTCTGAGAGTATCTTATTTTATCCGAAATACGACATCCTGCAGGCTTGATTTTTGCACTGATCTCTCTCTCTCTCTCTCTCTCTCTCTCTCTCTCTCTCTCTCACACACACACACACACACACACACCACCACCACCACCACCACCACCTCCACCTCCACAAAATGGACAAGAAAAAGAAAAAGATTGATTCATCAAACTGCACCGACCTTACTGACTGGCATGTCATGCATCGATATCGGAGAAGAAAATTATAATATAACACACAGACGAGACCATGTAACCTTTACATTTGTTTAAAATGTATTCCAATCAGATCAGAGCTTACCGGCATGTTTTATGTATGTGACGTGAATGCTTAACTCCGTGCCACCTAACAAACATCATTGTCGTCACAAGGGGGCAGTGAGCACATCCATTTTAAACAACAAGTAAGCAGCTTTATAAAAAGAATGAAGAAATTCCCACAGCATTTTGGCGCTTTCAAAAGCTTTCCACGAAGAGATTTGGAACTCAAAACCGGCCACACCGTGTGGCTTTTAACAAAGAACGCCAAGCGCTGATTACACGCACGCTAACCTGGCGTTGTCTATTTCTGAAATGCCTGGAACTTCGAGTCTAATGAACTTATCGGGTGAAACTTGAAAAAAAAAAAAGATTGATAGCGGTAGGAATTTACCCTTTCTAAACGCTTGTTTCGAAGCCGTAGGAAAGCATTTTTACGATGTTAGTTATTGTCTTCAATTGTAGGCTCATCCTGTGCGTTGCTGGGTAGAACTAATGGCTTTCCTGCTCTCCTTAGACACCCACTGTTTATAAAGAAGTAACGTCAACGGCATCTGCACGCACACACACGGGTGGCAGGCTCCACACGACACGCTCTCTGAATACCAACATAAGGTACGTGATTTTAGCACTGCTGTATTTTTTGTTGATTTAATTTAAAGGCACACAATAGGAGTTAGGCCTATGCACATGTATAGCTAAACTCCTGGAGATTTCAACACTTAATGTTGATCGAATCACCCAGGTAGACCATATTCAAAGCCTTTCGTAGAATAACGTTCCATAAGAACAGTTATGACTTTTTAATGTCTAGGTTTTGAGTCACTCTCGAAGTGGAGATGCTCTTGGGGTTAAAATCGGAAATCAAATTTTTTTAAATGTGTTTAAAGAAGGTAACTTCTAAATGGTTTTGAGTAAGGTATACCTTGGTGATAAAGGGGAAATTGCTGAAATGTCCAGAAAGATTTTTCCTTGTCTAAAAGTCTAACTTACCGCATCATATGTCTTCAAAATGGTAGTGGTTGCCATTTTATTTCAACTGCGTTTGATTGCAGGGTATATGTAGAGCAAGATTAGAAAATTGTTCATTAGGAGACGTATGGGAGTTTAATGAAATGTTACTGGTACGTTAACTTGATGGGGGTTAATTGCTGGGTACAGATTCAGTGGATCAACTTTGATGTAGAAAATGTATATCATTGATCTTGAAGACATTCAGATACTGTTTTACGCAGAGATGATAAGAAAAAAGATTTCTTGTTGAAATGTTATTGGACAAGCCATCAGTCTAGCTTTTAATCGAAATTTAAGCTTCATTTACAAATTGGAATATGAAAATCAAAACCATCATCTCCTTTATTCGCATATATTTGAACACAGTCTTTACTTCATTATTCTAGATAGCAATCTTTGGGGACGAGATTAATTATAAGGACATCGAAGTAGACCTTACCCAGGACGTTGCATCGATCCAAAATCCTGATTAATCAAACGATTTGCATTGGCGCTGCGTCTGCCTCCTTACATGTCAGTTATGTCTTCTTTAATAAAGAAGATCTCAGAATTTGCGAACAACAGTGCCGGCAAAAACCCGTCGATTCATGAATTATTAAAAAGGCTCGATAGCTATAATAACTCCTCCCACAATGGGAGCAACGGCGGTGACTTTACTGATTTTGGGTTAATGTCAAATAAAAATGCGGCACAGAACGTTCTTCTGGTTGCTGCCTACTCTGTTTTGGTGCTTGTTTCTCTCTTTGGCAACACAATGGTTTGCCACGTAGTGATTCGAAACCGGAGGATGCACACAGTCACTAATATGTTCATTGTTAACTTGGCTTTCTCTTGCATACTAGTCACCGCTCTTAATATCCCGCTGATGCTGGTGCGCCTTGTGTTGGAAGAGTGGCCATTTGGTTCCTTCATGTGTCACTTGCTCAACTTTATATTGATGTCATCCGTCTACGTGTCCACTTTCACACTGATGGTCATTGCGCTGGACCGCCATCAAGTGATCATGTACCCGCTTCGTCCACGGATATCATTACCTGTTGGCGCCCTTATTGTGGCTTTCATTTGGGTCTTGGCTATCGGACTCTCTATGCCGTTTGCCATATATTCCCGTGTGGAGGACGTCCATGTCATCGTTCGCACCAAGCGGCGTTGCCGCTCGAGGTATCCAGAACCCAGCGATCTTTTTGAGCAGAGGCTTACATTGGCGACGATATTGCTGCAGTATATAATTCCCTTAGGTATAATTACCATAGCGTACGTTAGAATTGGCTTAAGGCTCTGGTCCAGGTCGGCCCTTGGACATTGCACCCATGAGCAAAGGACTCATCAAGACAAAGCTAAACGTAAGACAATTAAAATGTTGATCACAGTTGTGGTTGTGTTCGCAATGTGTTGGATGCCATTGAATCTCTACCACATTCTGACCGACTTTCACCCAGACAACGAACTTTTCCGTTACAACAGCATCGCTTTTTACGTTTGCCACTGGATAGCAATAAGCAGCATGTGTTACAACCCGTTCATATATTGCTGGCTGAATGATAATTTTAGAAGGGAGATCAAATCTATTTTTTCGTGCTGTTTTCCCACTGCCCCTCGAGTGTGTCCTGGTATGGACGCCGACGGCTTGACAACGAAAGAATCTTCACGGGGGGCCGATGTCACTGTCCTGAGGCAAAAATCAAGCGAGACAATCCGGTCTAACTCCACCAAAAGCTCCAGAAAGGACACGCCGCTGGAGGACGTGGATAGTGTAGTGCTTCAACAGCTTCTGAGTTACAACAGAAAAAGTCTGAAAGGGAATTCGTGTAAAAATCACGGGAACGGAACGCATGGATCAGACTTTGAACTCCGCCCATACAAACGGGTCGACTCTAGAGATGTATCTCCTGATGATAGTATATTTGTCGAACATCCGAGGGGTGTAGAGGATGATGTCGCTGTTTAATCAGAAAAGCATTAGCAATTTCTACGAAAAAAGAGAAAGATAGATAGAAATTAAGAAAAGAAAAATATTTGAAGGTGGAAGCGCCAAAATGGGGAATCAAGTATATGTAGTGTATATAGTTTATTCAAATATGGTCAAACACATTGACAAAATGGGGAATCAAGTATATGTAGTGTATATAGTTTATTCAAATATGGTCAAACACATTGACAAAATGTTGCATTACAGCAATGTTTCCTTACGGAACAATGTAGCTCAGTCGCTAAAAGACGACTGAGTTTTTAAATCATATATACACCCCATTTTTCTCATATGAGTTGCCTTATCTTATTGCCTAAAAGAGCTGCACTGTTGTACGTATTATACTTTGTTTCTGAGATTCACCTTTCATCTCTGCTTGCGGTTATTCATTGAGATATATATTACAATTTCTCAAATGAAGATAGTCTTATGTCTTTGATCATTATGAGGTATCTTCAGGAAAGGGATATCTCATAGATGATGATAAATGACTAACGTCTAGCTAATGCGGCAATTAGCTGTGTTGTCGAATGTGTTACATCCTATACGCTTCTCGGAAGAACACAAAATACATCCGATCTCGCAGTTCGAGAAAAAGGTTTTCAAGCAATTATATACTGACGTCTTTAGGGCAAATGCAATTATAGTTGCATTTGATGAGAAAATGTTGTTATTTCACGATAAATATCCTAGTTGTTAACCCTTGTTGATCTGCGTGAAATCCTGCAGGTCAAGAAACACGCAAAGATCTTTTGGCTGAAGGGCTTTTTCGCTCATTACCGGTAACAGTCCTAGGTTAAAAAGAAAGAATTAAGAAGGTAATCGGAATTGATGAAAGCGAATTGGTTCTCAAGAAAGTCTTTAGTCAAAAATTTTCAGATTTGCGAACCGGCACTCCTTATCGGTTCACAATTCTTCACGTAAAGTATGAATGTTTATGGGTTGGCAAAAAGATGCTACTTTCGACCGGAGACCAGATAGGCGATGATGTAGTTGCTGTGGAAAAATTCTCGCTTGACAGGATAGCCAGAGAAATATCTGAAAATATACAGTATAAAGTCCTCTCCGTGCACCTGGTAAAGAGTAAAAAGTTTCCCAATTAAGCTCATATCACGTAGCAGCTTACGAGACACAATTGACAGGGTACTTTTAGTATTAATATTTTCTTTTCCGATGTACATTAAGCATCTTTTAATGAACTTTTTTCGCACTGGTTGTTGACGTCAAAACCCATCGCCAAGTTTACAACGTGTGCTAAGTAGAAACGCGGTGCGTACGTGTAGCGTGCACAACACTCAATTTTATTAACACTGAATGGATTAACTTTCTAACACATCTTTATTGTAATAATATTTATTGTTTCTAGCAAATTTTCGTACAAATTCATTTTGTTTAACAATACTGTATTTAAAAGATTATCATATTGTGACAGATGTCAATGATAAAGAATAATGATTTTGTCAGTTTTTATTGAGTATTTGTTTAATTTGTTCATACTTATTAAAAGTTTAAGAATCAAAGATGGTACATCTAGATATTCTATATAACTCATTAATGGGACGGGCATTTGATTCTGTGCCGGAAATACTTTTCTAAGGTGATGTTTTAAGGTATGAATATAATCTTTTGGCTACGTGAATATAATCAATATTATACCGTTTATTGCATCGCTGAAGCAACTAAAATTTTATAGAAAATATGGAAATAGTTGTATAATATTTATTTATTGAAAGAAGAAATGTATTGTATTTTAATTGTAGTATGAATAAATTTTGTTTTAAAGATTTATCCCAACCATCCTCTTTCGCTCTCGCTCTTTCATATTTCTTTGATACGAAAGATCGCCAACGTTGAAACACGTCATTGCGGTAGAGAATACGGACACTCATCTTCTCCAAGCAATATCACAGTGAGCCCACTACGAACAGATTGATTTTTACTAGTAAAGAGTACAATCATACTTTAGCCCCTATCATTATATATTCCATGTGAAAAACCTTAATATGCTGTAAAAGAAATTTGAAACTTGTTCTCGAAAATGAAATGTGTAAGTAAAATGCACATAGCGGAAAATGCATCCCTCTACCAGGGCGACAGATTGATTTTTCACAAGATATTCACAGATAGATAGACAGTCATTTGGTTCTCTAGCTTTTTAAAAAATTGGCCATAATATCTGCCACCCTAGTAAAGGGTAGGAAATGCATATCTATGTATACAGTACACTGTGTAAGTCAGAAGTTCAGCCACGCGCCTAGGCCTGCGGTAGTTGGACAAATATTTCAAGAGCAGGCGTGATAGCCCTTATCAGAATATTGCCTATTCAGCATAGATCGGGTTATCAAACTGTAACTGAGACACGCGATTTGAAACAATGACAAGGTAACAAACTCCAAAATTCAAGCCCCTTATCTTCTCTAGCCACTTGACGGGTTCGACTTCTATTCAGTGTCCGAGCCCTCTCGGCCCATTGTTTTCTGCCAAAGACGATTAATTATGAAACTGTCCCAATTTTCTTGTCAATGATTTACCTGAAATCTCTCTCTCTCTCTCTTGTTTTACCGTTTAAAACTTCATACATTCAAAAAGACGGCTTTGAGCCAAAATAGCAGAATATGCATCCCATTGCCATAGGCAGTTACTTCCCTTAACACACAGACCACGCGCCTCCCGCAAAGCGGGTTTACATTTTTCGTAATTTTTTCAGTGTGTGATTTGGATTTCACCCATACACGCAAATCAATGCACGTGTGCGCGCTTGTACTCACGCATATACATTACAACACGTGGAAATTTGTTGCGATTCGATAAATGTTTAAACTCAAAACAAGCACCGTGATTTCGGCGTTATCTGATAAAGGCGTGTGTCAGTGGCTAAACTTTAACCAAGGTACAACAATGCCATCAAGTATCTCTATCTCGGTGACCCGGACTGTATTGAAAAGTCCCTTGCTTATCGCTCGATGGGGGCGCGATATACTTTCCTGGTACGATAGCTAGAGACCCCTCCTCGTGTTTGCGTATATATACGTATACAGAGTATGAATATACTAGTATATATAAACAAATAGAGAAGAAACTCAGTTGACACGGAGGAGGGACGTTGGGACTCGGCTTCATGGGTAATACACACAAAGATGTATTTCGTGACGTATTTCGATCTCTTCAGCCGTATTCAAGTCTTTATGGCTTTTCACAGAACAATGGTGCCACATCGACGAACTTGATTGACTTTACTTCCCGAATAACTTGGTCGGCAACCAACATGAAACTCCCCGAACCCGCGACCAGCGTGGCCTCTACTCGATACAGATGTTGGCCTAATATATCGAAAACCCCGATGCTTGGTTCTTCAACTCCGTTTCACACGCCTCCACCGTCTGTCCATTCGGGGAAAGCGCCCAAGTCTGTCTATGAACCTCTGCACATAAAAACAGGACCAGAGAAACTGCTCAGTTACTTAACCCCGCCTACAACTGATCCGCACCGATGTGTAATTGAAAAGGGACTTTTGCCGGAGATGTACCAAGGCGTGCCCCTATTTAGGACTGCACCTGACACCAGAGACATGCTGGACAATTTCAGAGGTTTTGGTTTTTCAAAGAGCTCCATAAAGTTGAGTCCAAGTGCAACAGAAACTGGCAAAGTTTCGGGGCCAGGACAATCGCCTGTGCTAGAGCAGTGTTATTTGAAAGAACAGAGGCGGTATCAGTGTCCTAGGTGCGAAGTGACATGTGCTAATAAGGGGCAGTTTAAAGGCCATCTCCGGGTACATACAGGTGATATGAATATTACAACTTTTATTGTTATTGCATTTACATAAAATTTAGATCAGCCAATTGTCAATTATTAATTTACTTATTTATTTGCTTTATCTATTTATTTATATTTTTTAAAAATTGATGAAATTTTAAAAATTTAGATTTTGTCGCATCTAATGAATTACATTATTTCTCAGCTAAGTCTTCACGAGTACAGCGAAAAAATAAAAACCGTAAAAAAGCCCTAAAAGAACTGTAATTTTTTAACTTACCGTAAATGGTCTATTATTCAGGAGAACGACCATTCAAATGCGACCACTTTGGTTGCTCCAGGGCGTTTGCAAGGAACGAAGAATTAACAAGACACAGGCGCATCCACACGGGTCACAGGCCGCATGTCTGTCCACTGTGTGGAAAAGATTTTGGAAGAAAAGATCATCTGAATAAGGTAAGGAAACAAAGAGAAAAAAAATCACATACTTAGTTGTTACTGTCATTCCTTTTTTTTATTGATTTGCTTTTCAATGATATGATTGTTATTAATCATTCTGAGGCAAAAGGTGTCCAGTTCTTAACACATGGGTTGAAAAATGTGTGTTTACTTTGGTAAATGCAAATGTTTTGATATTTTTAGAACTTCTGATTTATGTATTATTTATTGGATCGATTTACTGTTCATGTCAACAATGTTTTTCATTTTTATTACCACTGCAATGCCACCAAACTTTGCACTGCGTAAAATGGGGTTCAGTCACTGCGGTTTATGAGACGTAGTCATCATAAAAGCCCTCTGACGTTGGTCACCGGTGTGACAGGAATAATATTCCTAGGAATGTAAGTCCGGGCTCCGACATGATAAGTACAGGTTAGGGTTAGTCGGAGTATTGGGGTTAGTTTATGGGACAAATGTGACCTGTACAAGGTAATGGAGAGCGGTCGACTGTTCACAGCTTGCTCACTACTATTCCTGTCACACCGGCTTTAAACCTTTGTCCCAGGGGATATATGTACAATAGTATAAATTTAAAAAAGAAACTTTTATAATATTTACATTGGTTGTGAATATTATTTCGGTGATACTACCAAGCATAGAGTATATTTGATAAAGAATTAATTTTTTTCTAACATTTTTCTGAGGCATAACGTTTCATTACATCGACGCGTCAGTTGATGCGGGAAGTTCGAAACGGCATGTCCCTTGCACAGAAAACACAATTTACTTTTTTATCATCGCAACACGAGAAACAATGAAATACCTATTTCACCGTGGCGAATGTCGTCCGATTATCCTTAAATAATCTGTTTCTTTTAATTCAGCATGTCAAAACACACCTGAATGCCCAGGAGAAGAAGACGTGTGTTTGTCCAGTGCTTGGTTGCATGCAGCGGTACTCTCGCTCTGATGCGCTAGCCCGACACCAGTGGAACGTTCATGGGATAAAGACGCGGTCAAGAGCCGCGAGTCGAGTGCAGTAAACGTACGTGTGGCAGCATATTCTGACCAGAAAAAAAACTTAAGTAAACTTTACTCGTAACATCATGTTCTGACCAGATACAGAGTTGAAAACTAAAGAAAATGGTTGGTTTCATTGTTCCATGCTGAGATTTATGGCTGAGAGGAAAAATTGTGTCCGTGCGCACGAAGTCACTACAAAGGCCACAATAAACTTTTCATAACTATAAACCTTATAATTACATTAGGGACCGTTCATTATTTACTGTGGTAGTAAAAATTCGGTTTACAGTACAAATTCACCTGTGACTATTCAATAATCATGACATTAGTCCAAGCAATTTTGTGATACTGTCCTTGCAAGCGTATGTATTTTACTTGTATATATTCGAGAGAGAGAGAGAGAGAGAGAGAGAGATTTATACACAAATCTTACATTAAGTTATTTTTAAAAAGTATTGAGTGTATCAAGTGTACTTGATAACAAGCATGTCTCTACATGTATATTCCTTTTTAATAAAGCATTATCACAACGATGTATAATTCTGATGTCATCGATTATTTTATTACACGAAAAGACGAAGTACGGGTTAGTCACTACATTGTGTAAATGGCTTCAGCTGATATCAAGACTAACCAATTGATTAATAAGTAAACCTAGAGAACAATTATTCGGCGACATTCCAAATTTCTCTCTGATCTGTGGGTGGAATACTAATTGGACTTTGATACTGAGCTTAACAATCATTGTCTGACGTGTTTTTCTTGGAAAATATTGGCCACATGCATGCCGCCTCAAATAATAATTAGTCCAAATTGTTGTGTAATTGCTGGTATGTGGATCAGAGTGCTACGGTACTATAAAATATCAGTACATAGGTGAGACCGAGAGAAATATGAGCACTGATAAAACGTTTTTTTTTTCTTTTTTTTCAAATTAATTAATAATTTATTTATGTTCGTTTGCTTGTTTGTTTGTTTATCTTGCTTACAGACATGCCTACAGAATCAAAGTTAACTGCATCTGTGCGATCCCTCCCTCAAAAAAGGGAGCTTAATTTAAGAAGTAAATTAAATGTAGGATGAACGTTGTGAATGTCGATAGACGAGAAAAAACTTTTAAAAGGTTTTGTGCTATGAAATGTAGTCAGTGGTGGGTCCAAGTGGCACAATGGGCCACGTGCCATCCCCTACCCTCTTTTATTTCAGAAGTACCAGTTCTCACTGCCCCCCCCCCCCAAAAAAAAAAAAAAAAATTCAACAATCGAAATGAGACGAAACCAAGCCCTTTTGCCTCCCATGTGAACTTTTTGAGTTAAATTCGAAAATAAACCCATACGTGCATATTAACCCAAGTAGCCCTAAATTTAAAATGGGTACTTACGTTGTGTTCGTAATTATGCAGTTCAGGAGTTTTGAAAGCATTTACTGATTATCTCATGAGTTTTGGAACTGAATCAAAGCCCTTGTTAAAACCTTACGAACTGACAACCAATATCAGAAACGGAAAAGAACTGTGTTCTATTGAATTTCCGATTCACCATGGACCTAGAATTATTCCGTAGGGGTAACAATGTTGAAGAAATACATTCGAGGCATTTGCTGAAGACACGGAAACAACTGATATTTACTGATTGGGATCCCTTTGCTCCACTGTGCACTAACGACGGTCGCTCGGCCACCTTCGGCTGATTCCGTATCTCACTATGCTTTTACATGTTTCGTATGGAATCAGGCGGCTGCAAACGAATGAACAAATGTGTTGGGTGGGAAGTTAGAATGAGATAGAGACGCCATAGCCCTCGCAATCAATGTTGCTCATCCATGCCTTCGCGCAATGTGTAATTTCAAAGCTTGAATTCGTGTAGTGAAATGTCACATAACTTTAGCCGGGAGTTTTTCTTTACTATTCTCTGCAACTTTCTCTTTCTCTAACTATTAATTGTACAGTGTGGACCTGCTTGCACGTCATCCAGTGTGATCATTTTCAATCAAAAACACATTTTTGAGTAATACCTTTACCTTGACTTAGTTTAATTGGGAGATTTCAGGTTTATCAGATTTGGAGGGAGGGGTGGGGCTGGGGGAGGAGCAGGGGAGAGCAGTCGCCCACCACAAGTTTTTGAAAAGAAATATTGAGTGATTTTTAAAACGTGTTCACCTTTTTCTTTCATCAAGTTACATGTATTTTTATTTCCGTCCATTCAATCTGATTATCATTCCAAATTCCTTTTACCTTATTGTTATTTTACTGTAAACTGGTCATTTATGTGCAAGTGTAACGCGCTTTTGTTAAGTAATATCATATGCTTATGATATTCCAATATTAATATAATTTACATGTGCGGTATTTCACCTTTGAAATGTCAGATACAGGATGCTAAAGATTAGGCTGTCACCTTGCCCATATCCTGTTATTCTGAAGATTTAAATTGATGTGTGTTTTGTTGACAGTTTTGTTATACATGTACGAAAAAGGTGAGACGAAAAATTTGATTCAGAAAAGAAATGAGTTCAGAGTTCAATGAGAGACTGGTGAAACGTCTATATAACTGAACCCACATTAAATGACATGATATTTTACTCATTTTTTAAAACAGAAGACAAATTTTCGACTTTGAAGTTCCGATACAGTTTTGTTTGCACTATTCGTGTTAAAATATGATTTCAACTACAGATCACTTAACCCCAATTCTACAAAAAAATAAAAATAAAAAATACATACACAGAGGGAATAAGCTAAAAAACCTGTGGCTACATTTAAAGTATCGAATTTTGTTGGCGCCAAATAACACAATGCATCTACCGGTTGAACGTACTTGACGCGGCGCGGCTCCTTATCCAGTGATTACCTACATGTTTAGGATTCTACTCGCCGTTGACAAGTGCATCCCATTAAAACAACGTGATTGATTTTATCCTAAAATTGAATTCATCTTGCTATCTTGGGTTTAACAGACCTTACTGCGTTACTATCACGTCTCATAAAAGAACGCAATTTAACGCGGCCTGAAGCAAGAGTTAATGGTTTTGTTAATTGGATGCATTCTCAGGGGAGTGTTGTTTCCTTTTCGTTGGAACTCTGGAAAATGCTGTTCGATCTTGCTGAAAGCCTCGGAGAATCTCCAGATAGAACTCGGAACACGCGGCATGACATCATGGGTGACCTCTGGAACCTACTGGCGAAGGATTCTTTATCGATTTCACGCTTCTTAATAGAATTTTCTGAAAGGGTCTACAGTGTCGCGGTTGGTGAGCATGGCGGCCTAGCACCAGTGATGCGTTTTGTTGCATAAAACATGAGGGTCAGTCTAATTAGAATTACGAAAAAAATTAACTATGGAGCGTAACTATGGAGTGTAAGCCGAATTATTTCGTTGGAAAGAATGTCATTAGTAATTCGAAAGATTAAAAAAGATTTAAAGAATAAGGTTTATGAAAATAATGTTTATTAACATAAAGTCCTCGTTAAATCTTGCTGAGGTGATTTAATTTAAGAGTTTTGCTACAAATGGATAAAAAAGAGAAATAAATAAAAAATACCCACCCCAACTAAAAAAAAAACACCTGATGTTATCCAGATTTCTTAGAAATTCCTGACACAAGTTGGTCATCTCCGAACGGATCATTTGTGGGATTCTGCTTTGTAAAAAATCACAAATAATGGAATTTCCCACCTTCTTATCGACCACCTGACTGCAGATGTACAAATAACAGTTTTATGATCATTTTCCGTTCGCTTGATTAACGCCGAATGCATGGTGTCATGCATTTTTCGTGTGTGTTTATTTCAGATGTTGTTATATATGTCTTTTAAAACAGTATATTCTGTTAAAATTAGCTTAGATGAAAGGAAAAATTAAAAAATTACATATCACGTTCTTTCATTTTCATTGGCACTAGAGCTGTTTGTGTACAGCTGGTACAATTTTCATCTTTGATGGCACTTCTGTTTATAAAACATGTCCCACGAAACCATCTTCAATATGTGTGCGTGTTTGTCATAAAAAAGAAGAAAAAACACATGTGTTCTGCGTGTATGGTTATCATACTTCATGTTAATCGCACTCTTGAAACCGGATGCGTATTGTATTTCCAAATCACGACACTAATACTTCGCAGAATTCACGAACCCTATATACTCGATCCATAGATCCGTAGCACCTACGCACAGTTTTATATGGTTATCTGATCGGTTGATGTTTGTAAAGAAAAATTGCTTGAAAAGATGAGGTATACCTTTTAAAGTGATACTACGTTTGAGCAGTATAACTAGTATCTTATCAAAATACATATACATTATACCATTTGGAGTAATTCAAGGACAATATGAATTGTACTATGCCATTTAAAAAAAATAAACATAATACTTTTGGGGTGATTGTAGAATAGTATGCAATGTGTTATAAAAACATAACATTTTATCAGTGCACGGTGTTAAAAAACCTGGGGCCGTATACTCGAAACTCACGCAATCTGTAAGTTCCGACCTTTCTAGAATGTGGCCACAGGTGTCGAGTCCTTCCTTTTGAGTCTGAATGCACAGGAGCTCTAATAAAACACATCTCTCGGCCAACAATAAGCAACATGGCTGGTTACTTCCTGAACTCCGTGTGCATGTGTATTTCCATTCATGATTACCAGTTGCAAGAGCTTCATCATCATCATATGGAGTCTACAAAGAAACAAAAGATCAGTGTCAAAAGGAAGGAAGGAGGAACCTGAATGTCTTCTATTGGTGAAATTGCACTTATTAAGACACAGCACGGGAAAAATCGGTCTCCACATGAGGATATTGATACTGTTTTATTTTTTTCCAATTGCGTCTATTCTCAAAATATCTTATAATGCTTTTAAAACTTGTTCACTACTATCAGAGGATATTTGCTGGTACCTGTGACTTGTGACAATTTCTTCTTCTTTGAAAAAATATCAGGCGTGTTGTTTGTGTGATTGACTGCTGGCTGAGATTATAACACGTTGTCAAGGTAACAGCAAGAGCGAGCTCACTCAATACAGCCAGGCGCATGGGTGCGGCCAGATGCAGCTTTCACTGTTGCGC